GGATCCCACATACAGACCAGCCGCTCACTGGCTGAGCGAGGTGTGGGCGCAACACCGAAGGTTGCGATCCCGTTGCCGGTCCCCGTCCAGTATAGGCGCGATACTGAGGGTTGCGATCTGTTGCCGGTCACGAAAAAAAGACAAAAAGGAAAAAGAAAAAAAAACTAAGAACCTCATATATGTAACTTATAAACTCATGTGTTTGGGTTTTTTGTTTGTTTTTTGTATACAATATATAATTTCACTTTCAGTGTACTAGAATGGATGTTGAGAAGTGGTTGTAATCATTTACAAAAGGAATCTTAAAATTAAGAAAGCAAGAGGCGGTGCTGTCAAGTATTAAAGGTAGCGAGGCTCATTTGAGGAAAAAAATGATATAGTAATTTTCACAATTGTATTTTGTGAACTTAAATGGAAAACAAGAGTGATAAGTTTTTACTGCTCTAAAAGATATATTGATGGGAATAGTTTCTAATGGCAAACATAATTATAAATATTTATACAGGGCATTAATTTACTTTATTCACTAAAGTTGTTGATTATATAAACTATACTGTAAGTAACAAATTACATATTTTTAATTAACAGGATTATGGCTTCATTAAATTTATTGAGGTATTTGGTCATTAAAGATAATGAAAATGACAATCAAGTAAGTGAATTATTTGAAAAAGAAACTGTGAGTATATTCAACATGCATAGAGAATGTTTTGAATTTTTTTTGATCATTACCCACTTAAGCTAGTATTTAATATCTTACCCAGTTACAAAGGCTGGGAAAAGTGCTGACAATTATTTCATAACCTGAAGTTAATTCCCATGAGAATTTCCCCCCACATCCAGCTTCACTTTCCCTTTCCATTTTCTACAGTACCCATGCTCTCTTGCTGAAAGTATTTCTTAGCTCTGTTGGGTAGATTAGTTGCAAGTCCTAAGTTAACAACCTTGTGGAACTCAACATATATTGGGGTGTTTTGTTCTGATTCCTCCACCTATAATCCATAATTTAAGTGTAAGTTATATAAAATAAAATAATCTTGATATTTTAATAGTGCATCTTTAGACATGACAAATTGAAACATTTTCAGCACTACAACTGAATTCGTTAACAGCGTTTTTTAGATAATGTGTAATATAGTGCATCTTTAGACATGACAAATTGAAGCATTTTCAGCACTACAACTGAATTCGTTAACAGCGTTTTTTAGATAATGTGTAGGAAGTTGGATTTTTTTTTTTTTTTAAGTAGCACATCATTAGAAGTATTCAATAAATAGAAAACTATTTGAGGTAGATTTGTTGTATAGTACAATTATACTTGCTTTTTATCTTCTCTTTCTATCTACCCTATTCTAATACTTTCCCTATATGTGTCACTTCTATTAACTGTAATTACCTGAATCATGTGTTGATAATCTTTTTTTTTTTAAGGAAGTAATTGATTTTTATATAAAGATGCTGAAGAGATTCCTTTTTGATTAAGTAAATCATGATTAGCAGTTTCTTCTCTCTTGACAGATCTAATAGATAAAGTTATGTGACCTCCTGTTCATCTCTCTTCAGCCAAAAATAGTTATTTGCTATCATTGACTAGTGCTTACTCTGTACCAGGTGCTATTTTTTTTTCAACATTTTATTGTGAAAATTTCAAAATTACAGCAAATCACTAATTTACCCACCACCTACATTGTACCATTTTACTCTACTTGCTTCACTCCACCCTATCTCCATCCATCTTATTTTTTGATGTATTTCAAAGTAAGCTGCAGACATCAATATACTTTCCCCCAAATATTTTAGCATGGGTGTCATTAAGTAGAGTTAAATATTTATCTGTAGTTTTTCTGAGCTAAAATTTACATAAAATGCACAAATTATAAGTGTACATTCACTGAATTTTATCAAATGCATAGATCTATGTTATCCAAACCTGTATCAAATATAGAAAATTACCATCATCACAGGTTCTCTCCTGCCCCTTCCCAGATAATTTTGACCTCATAGCACCACGCCCTTCCCCACCCCTGCCAGAGGCAACCACTATTCTGGCCAGGTACTATATATCATTTATTCCTCATAATACTATAAGAAATGTACTTTTTATTTTTCCCTTTTCATAAATAATATAGGCATAAGAAAGATCATTAACTTGCACAAGGGCACACATCTAGTAATGTATGCTATGAACCCAGAGAGTGGCCAGAACTTTTGAAATCACAAAAATAGAAAAGATACTATGTAAAATTCAGTGGCAATAGAGGCCCTGAGGCTTCAGAAGGGTATCATTAGGGTAATAGATGAGTTTTTACTTTTTTAGTAATCAGGAAAGGCTGTACCTACATGAGATGATCTGATTTGCCTGGCAGAAAGAAAAGGAATCTTATTGACTAGGATGGATAGATAGATTTTTTAGGTATAGTGTACAGTGTACTACAGAGGCAGCAGATAGGTCTCTGCCTAGGGAGGGAAGACTTGAGGCGATTTAGCACTGTGCAATGTTGCTATGATAGCCATAGATAATGCCTCACTCTTATTTGGCATGAACATTTTGTGGTGAAGAAAAGAATGCAACCTGCTTGTAGGACTGCCTCCTTCTTTAATGGTTTTTAAAATTTTTTCTTATGGGTCGAATATTCCA